AAAAGCTGGGCTTCATAACCATGCATTTCCCTCTATTAACTATGGTCTGAGTCACACCACGTTATACTATTCTAAGACCAGGCAGATAACAATCATGCAAAACCCGCGCATATCAAACTGTTAAATCGCTGTTTGAATGCATAATTATCTAAAGGGCTTATCACTTCTTATAAAATCAAGAGGAACTCGCCTCCACAGGAGCAAAATTCCTTTTATGGTAGATATGGTAGGTATGCAAAACGTTTTTGAAAAAAAAAAGTGAATTCCAAAGGAAGTTGAAGGTCTCGCTACATTCGCACGTGCCCTAAAGTCAGGCACGTGCACAGTTCGACAATTTGCATCTTCACACTCCGACCGTTGCCAATATACAGAGCAGTTTCATAGACGGATAGTTTCCACGTCAATCTCCAGTTTACGAAACAGTGGGACAGCTTCATTGCGTCGCCTTTACACTGAACAAAAGTGAACGGGACATTGGTTGGGGGACTTTTCATTGGAAAGGAGAGAGTACAGAGGAACGTCCAGAGAAGAAGGACTTGATTCAGTCGCCATGGAAGGTATGGTCGCAATTTTCTTTCAACAACAAAGCCTGATATCCAGTCTAGAATTTGATGTTGTGACCAATACTGCGCGAAAAGTGGGAAGTTCAGCAAACTTCTCCGGCCCAACACAAAGCGAAGCTTGAATGTAAACTTAACTTTGCACTTAAAGAAAGAAATTTGTTTCGCGTTGTGTTCTTTGGGAGTTTAAGAAAACCGTGACCGCGACGGTAACGGGAGCGTCGCTAAACAAAAGGTTTAATGAGTAGAACAATGGCGCGCGCGTTATAATTCTTGGTATATTTCTTTGCCGTCCTCAGCAAAGCAACAGCTTGAAACGACCAAATTCCTCGTTGCCTGGACGTGAACGACGACGGCTAACTTTTAAAGTTTCTATTTCAAATTTATCGCTGTGTTCCAGATTCAGTTTCGAGATAGTTTGATAGTGAGAAACAAACAAAATGGCTTTAAAGAATCGCGAGATTTAGAGGTAAAATATAAATTCATTTCTTAATCAACGTTATCCTCGTCGTCGCCGTCTTGGTTATGTAAACTCCATCCTTTTCCTCAAAGAATGCACTTTACAATTAGTTTGCAATGGGTTGTTATGTATGGTGTAATCAGTCCCCTAGGGGGTGGGTGATGCGTATATTATGTCTGTGATCATGATTGTTGTGTCTTCATAGGTTACCAAGCCTTCCATTACAGACCAACCAAGTTTATTTCTCGTCAAGCTTTTAAAATTTTGTCATTTGTTGTGAAATAACAATCTATTTTACTCTGTTTATGATTTCGTTAGTATAGTTCAGCTAGTCTTCAAATATCAACAATATTACGGACGGCCTCGAGTTAACAGAGCGTAACATGAAACAGTTAACTTATTAACCAAACAAACAAATGAACGTTCAAGCAATCAATCAAAGGAAAGGAGATAACATTTAAGCTACTTGGATCTTCGTGAAGTTTCCAAATCRAAAAAAATCGAACGAAAAAATCGAGATATGAAAATTAATCATCCTTCTGTGTGATATCCAGTTGTAAGAAGTTTTCGTGAACCAAAGTCATCTTTAGATTTTTATTATTACAAAAGAAAAGGACCAAGTTGCAAACAAGTTACAATATTTAACCTTGCCGGCGTTCGTCACAAGCAAATGGTTTTAGTCGATTTCTTGAATACAACCAGTATTTTATCAGTTTGGCTAACACGATCACTTTGTTTACGAAGTGACATCATTTGTTGAAGCAGTCTTGTGTGTAAAGGTTATCACAACAATGGGTAGACCTGTTTTAACTGGTAGATATTGACACAAATCAACAACTGTATAGCAAAACAAGTTCAGTTAATTTAACACACTCTAAAAATCAAATTAACAGAACCATCTGTTGATCTTCAGATTGAGCAAATCCGTTAAACTTATCTACACAGTATTCAATGTTTTTTTATACTGACCAACAAATAAAAGTTTCCATACTCCGGACGAATTGTTTTGTTTCCCATTTCCTACCTCTGAGGAGCTAATATTCACGCAAAGAAAGTGATTGAGACAGACACAGACTAGATTACGCACGTGCAGTCAGTCTCATTGCTGTGTAAAAAGAAACTGCGTGCAAACTAAAAAGTATCATTTCCAAACTTTTGCAAATTTTAATTAGTCCAAACAACTACGCCAAGTCTATGTTATTAATGCACTGTCAACGCTATTGAATTAAACTTAATAGCTACCAATGTTCACATTAATTGCGATAAAGTTTTGCCCCATTAAACTTTGTTACACACCACGTCCAGCAAAAGGGAAATTAGAAAGTTCTTAGTTCTGTTATGTGTTAAGCAATTGCGTTTAGACTTTTTAAACGATCAATGTCAAGATGGACGTTTTGAATCATCCTCTTTTTTAGAAGATGCCAGTTGCTGTTGTGTCATAAGCAGAAAATATTTTTTATTTTTCTATTTTTTTGTCTGTTTTTTCGCACTCTCACTGTACTTTCTCTTTTATAGTTTTTTTTTTCTTTTTTAATTTAAGAAGCTCAGCGACATTTGACAGTTTGCTAGAAAGTAGCCTGGCCAAAGGCCAAATTGAGATCACATTTTGATAACTGGATCTCTTATCACCTTTTTGGTTGCATTTGAGAGTACTTTCCTATTACGCACGTGACGACAGAACTGGTAGTAAATCATTGCGTTACATAATTGGATGATATTTTTACGTATTTGTTAACAAGACATGAGTATGCAACAAAATGTAGAAGCGCTCGTTTTATTAAAACCTTCCTTGAGTCCTTTAGGAATGCCTTTAGCCCTCTTCGTTTGTACTGAACATAAGTCCGTAAAATAGTGCTTTGGAATAGGTTACTAGGAGTCACCTTGCTTTAGGGAAAGAAACGGGAACGTTCTGAGGTGATTGAATGAAATACACCATATAATCCACCTAAAGTATAAAACGATCTCATGATTTCTCAAAGCAAAGTAATAATAATTACCCATTTTCTTTGGAATAATTCCTATCAAGGTTCTAGATTTAAGAAGATTTTTTTCTCTGTATATTTTAAGCCTTTTTTAAACTATATTTCATCGTCTACAGTCAAAATGGCTGCCTTGCTGTGATGTAAATGATTGCTTACAACTAACTTTCTTTGTTTACTTCCTTAGGTTACAACAAACTCAATTATGGGTTTTGGTTTTTTACTTTTAATAATATCATTAGTACCACTATCAAGAGCGAAAGGTAAGCGAAAACTGACAAGAACGTATGTTTTTACCATTGCATGAGATAGATTATTTCAGTTCTGCATCTGTACCGATACCCTACCTTAAATGGGACGTTACAAAGAGACAAATGATCACATTTTTAAAATAGCCTATTAAGCCTTTCTCTGATTCCGTGTCCTGGACTTAAACTGTCAGAAACGAGTTCTGTAAATAGACTCTCAAATACTTAAAGAATAAGCTTAATTATGTCCAGGATATAAACTAAATCTGGGATAATGAATCGTGCAGCAGGTTGCGAGTATTTGAGCGGAAACTGAAAAGTTCTCTATGAGCTTATTACAGCAATAAAGAGCAAGAAATAGAAAACTTTTTGCGTATCTGCAGCATTTAAGAAACAGTTGAATGTGAATTAACGTACATTTTTACGTTTACAAGCTTCCGTGTGGATGTTGTAATACTTTAGTTATTAGACATATTTCAAGTAGTTTAAATGCATCTATTCCAACGATGTTATGTTAACAACGATGTAAGGAGACTTTCTCAAGTATCTTTCTCAGTATCTGCAAGGCAACGGACAGTTTTTGTTCACACCAAGTATGTTAAAAGTTTACAAGCTGGCGGTAAGATTACCCGGAGAGTATATTTAGGAACATAGCTACCAGAAACCCATTATTGTCATAACGATAATTCCAAATACCTAAATGACATTGAGATTGTTTGCATGTGCTTTTAATGCTACTATATAACCGAAAGCAACCCTAACTCCAGAATGTTCTTTCCACCCTATTACCTTAACAAAGCTATTATTAACGCTCATCAGTGTTACTAACAAAAGCGCTGCTAAACTAACTTTCAGACCTCCGATCTCCGACGTCAGCTGTTGACCGTCGAAGTGCTCCTGATGCTCTTCTCGGCGAGATCTTTAACGATCCAAGCGCAACAAGTCTAACAAAACTCAACCTCGAGGATAGTGACAGTGACAATGACGACTTTTCCGGTTCGGGTTCGGAACTGTGGTCGGGCTCGGGTGAGTTGCCGAAGCCTTCCGAAGACAGTAGCACACCCAGTGAAGCCGTGACGACAGACAACCAACAGGGACAAGCGACACAGACGTCGACACAAACAGACGCGACTTCCAATACAACACCAAGCGAAAACACTAACAGCTCTAATAACAGTAGCAGTGCTGACATAAAAGACAATACAAACATCTCAGAAACCCCCGCTGCTACCCCTGAGAGTACTAACTCAGTGAATTCTTCTACCGCAGCACAAACTGCTCCTCAACAAAGTTCGACGGAAGCGCCCATGACGTCACCAGTGGTGACGCCACAGGGCGCCGACGCAAAGTTACCCTCTACTGAGGATCAGAGCCAAAATAAAGTTGTGCAGACAGAAGAGAGCGACAAATCTTCCAGTGACCAGTCGACTCCCAATGCTGATTTTTTCCCTGCACAAACACAAAATCCCTTGGAAAGTATTCCTGATAATCCTGCTGCGGCCCTTGTGGGGCAGCAGTCGCCTGGGTTTGACGACAATTCATTATATGACCCCACAATAGTGAAGAAAACAGATATTCCTGTTGCTGCAGATATGTTCTCCAATCCTTTAGGTAAGTCCGCTAAGGATTTGATTACATATCGTGATAACTTCTAACTTACTTATCAACGGCAATGCTGAGTGCAACATAAACAGCCCATAAAAGCAAGAAAAGCTTTTTGGAATACGGGATTTTATGTTAAAGTAATAGACCAGCCTACGCTCTTAATAGAGTTGAAATACGTAATCCTGAGATGAGGTTGAAGGTTTTGTTTTATACGAAGGAGAAGATTTAAAAAAACGGAAAATAGCTTTTGCTCAAAGTTCGTTCTTTCCAGAACAAAATATGCTGAAGAGTAACCCGCGATGTACCAGCATCCTATCAAGTTAGAGAAGATGTTAAGTAACGGCATTGATGAGACACAAGGATCACCTGATCTCTTGGATTGGACTCACTTGAACCTTGAACCTTGAACCTTTAACCTTTAATTTCATCAACAATCTTCTGGTTTCTGGAATTTGCTATCACTTTACTGACTTTTACTGCGCATGCTTTCTCTTCTCCGGCAGTTAACAATACAATGGACATTCCAGGAACTGCTCGTTCAGCAATTCCGCAGGCACCGGTGCTTGCGCCGCAGGCACCAGCCGTTCCTAAGGCAGCCATTCCGTACAAGGGTTCCTTTCCATTACAGCTTCATAAATACTCACCATACTCAAAGCTGATGAAAAAGAACATGATCGCAAATACGGGTGAGTAGAAAGTTGACTGTTTTGTTTTGGAGAAACTAAACCTAACCGAGTTGCCCGATCAACTCTGTCAACTAAGCAGTGTTTAGTCCCTCTGCACGACCTGTTCACATCATTGGTAAAAAATCAGCCATGCTGGGTCACAAGTTAAGCATCGGGACATCCAGAACAAAACGAATGCCACGGATGACCATTATGTCTGATGATGTTTGTCCAAAGGGCCCGTTACTTTCTGTAGCAGCATTTAGGTTAACTGTATGACATGACGTTATTGTCATGCTGCCTTCTAGTGTGACACAATGAGTTTACCTCGCTACATCTGATTCTTTTCGTTACTTCAGGCTTAAACCAGGAGGCCGCAAAGAAATCTGTGATACCGCTCAATGCCGCAGGGGGTCTGCGGCCGCTGACGGTGAATCTGCCTCAGCAGCAGCAACCACAGCAGCAGCAAGATTCAACAAACCCTCAAGGCTATCCTCAACCCCAAGCGCCAGCCCTTGATGTCAACCCAGCGCAAATGCCTTTTGGAGACCAAGCCCAGGCCCCTCCTGCTGCACAACCTTTTGCCCCAGCCCCTACTACATCACAGTCTCTTGCCCAAGCTCCAGCGGAGGCCCCACTGCAGAGCCCGCAGCAGGCACTCGACCAAGCTCAGGGAGATGTTCCCCAGGCTTCGGAACAAGCCTTTGCTCCTCAGGTGGCTGCTCCATCTAATATGCAAATGCCAGGGCCAGAAAATGTCGCGGCTGCATTTCCAATGAGTAAGAATTTTTTGTATTACTATATAGCAAAATTAAAGTGGGCCAAACCCCGCATTAACAACGAGCAATACTGTTGTGAAACATGTAGATAAACCGTCGCTCATTGCTTTATCGATAGCCGTCGTTAAACCCCTAATGATGAAAAGGTAGTTCTCTGGCACTCTTTGCTCAGCCAAGTGAACCAAACAGCACTTAGATTAAGTACCTACAAAATAACTGAAGGTAATATCTCACTAGTCTTCTTTTTTTCTGCCTTTGTTGAGCATTCGTCGTTAATCCACTTCTGTTTAACAGATACAACCATGAATGATGCTATGGCTGGAGCCATACCTCAAGAGACAACAGGAATTCCAGCCCAGGGTCTGCAGGTTGTGCCAGTCTATCAGGGGTTGAAACCCAAAAAGCCTGTCATAGAAGAAGGTACATATAGTATCATAGTAGTTTGAAGACCTTACTCATGATTGCAAGAGTTCTTGAGAAGACTTAGTTAAGCAAAATAATGTTATGTTCCTCTCTCTTTTTCCCTTTGAAAAAATGAGATGAATAGGGAAAATATTTGTCATTTTAGGCTCGAAGCCGTGCGGGAGAAAATGAACTCCCACTCATA